ACAGCCTTCTTGTTGCATTAATTTTCTCTGATTCAGTATCAAGACACACAAAACCAACCCATAACAGTGACACAGTAACAGTGCAGCAGAGGGGAGACATTTTTCTACACCCCAGCTGGCCAGAGCGGGAATTTAGGGGTTGGGGAGCAACAAAGGGGCAGAGAGTTGAGCCTGGTGTTGTCACCACCAAAACCACGCTGTGCAGGCTGCTGGGCTGCACAAAGCTGGAAGGATGGCTCGTCAATTTGGACATTTTTCTGAATGTTGAAGGGCCCCCAGGAGCAGCAGATGGGGAGCACCAAGCTAAAGTGATAACACATTGGGGCGCTGCCACGCCTGTGCTGATTAGGATGGGGCACTAGGGTGGCAGAGGTTGCCTGGGCCAGAAATGCTGGGCAAAACATGTTGGGAAAGTCTGACCTAGAGTGAAAAGAAGCCAAACAAAGAACAACAGTCTAAGCTTTGGAAGTGCAGCGACCCACAAAAGCAACAACACAGCACTATTAAATTTGCTGTAGGGACATGTAGGGTAGAGTAGAAATGAGGCATTTGGCAAGTATGTGGTAAGAGATAGTCCTGCTGCAAGGCCTTTGCAGTCAAAATTAACAGGGCAGAAAACCAAAAATAGGCAGTAATGTCTGAGCAGACGTTATTCCTAAATGACTCTCTTACACAAGGAATTAGAATCAGGCTCAGCAAGGCGATTTTAAGACAATGTTTTATTTCTTTAATATGTATCCCAACGAGAAGCATCGTATTTCTGCAGATCGTAACAGAATCACAATCAAGTTACCCCTTATTCACCCTAGAAGCATTTCTCTTGCAGACTAACTTCCAGGCTCTGCTGCACCGGTGTACATCCCATTGCTCAAAGCACAGTCCATTTATGTATATTACTTCTATTACTTCTTACTACTTTAAATCTGTATCAGCATGTGCAAGCCTTGATTTTAAAACACCACCACCACCACTCTAACGCCACTGACACAAATTTCTAAACAAAACTTTCATCCACCTTTACCTAAGATACACCATCACAGAAGTTTCAACATCACACCTTCCACAAAGCCTGAATTAATAATTTCACCAAGTCAATCCAATATGACGTGCAAGTAACAAGTATCATTCCCCTAAACACTATATTTTCACCCTTAATAAAAGCTACTCTTAAGAACGCAACTATTTGCATTGTTTATGCTCATCTCAGCCTCCCAGGCTGCTGAGAACAGCTTGGTGGGGACTGGAGGAATAAGATTGCCTGCTACTGACTTCGCTTTGAGGAGCCTTCCAATAGAAAGGGGGAAAAAAAATCAAACCTGCTACACCACTTCAAAAATCAGACAGCATTTTTAACCTCTGTCCTTTTGCATTAGTGCAGCAGTGCCTGGAAAAGCTACAGCAGGAGAGAGAGAGAGCCATTTAGGCAGCTCCCTTCGTGCCACCATCGTGGCTCAAAGGGATAGAAATCAAGAAACATTAGAATCAGTGTAAGCCAATTAGGACATCAGGGAAGAATAAAACATGCAGAACTTAAAATCTGTTAAAAGGCATGGAGAAAGCACTCATTTCTGAGTAGAGAGTAACTTATTTTCTGGAGATATTCCAGATTTTGGGTTCCCATCTGGTGGTACTTATTGTGATAAGGGATGAGGAGGTTTTCAGCTGAAACACAAGAGTACACTTCTGACATGAAAGACCTACTAACAGGACAGCCACAGACTAACCAAAATCCTTAGGATCTGAACAAGAGTGGACACATTTTTATATACACACATCTAAATCACACTCATATAGAAAGCATGTTCCATTAAAATAAAATCAAACTAGGAACCTGGGATTGAAAGTGTATTTCAGATAGAATAAAAGATTTATTCTCACTTTTTTTAGTCTTTCCCCAGCAATGGGTGGTTTAGCTTAAGCTTAGACTCACCATTTACGGATATACAATAAACCAATTGGTTTTTTCTCATTCTTCAGAGCAGTTGCCAGCCTTAATGAGTGGGGCTGCAACAGTCCAACCTCAGGGTGCACAGCTGCCTCTTCCCATTTTCAAAGAAGACTCGGCGGGGAAAGGAGGGAAAGGAGAGAAAGGGTGGCAAGAAGGTGTCCTTTGGCATCTACAGCCTCGAGTCGACCCGTCTGACTGAGCAACCAGCACCACAAACTCCAAAACGCGTGCACCTAAAGGTCTGTGCTGCAAAATCAGTGCTAATATCATCCATTTCTCGTGCCCACACGTCTAGAAGGGTGGGAGCGGCGACAGCACAGACAACCCAAGCAGGCAGATCCAGACATGCAGTTACAGGAGGAATGAGTCCTAAGCCTTCTGCTCTAAATTAAAAATATATTTTAGAAAACACGATGGCAACAAAGTTGTGTCAGATCCGAAACGGAGTAAGAAAGAGAAGCTCTCTGAATTTGTTCAATCATTTAACTTTCCAGATTTACTGGGGTTTCCCCCTGGATTACTTCAAGCAAGACATTTCTCTGCTATTTTTAAAACCATCCCATTCAATTACAGCATGAAATGAGATCTCAATGAGAAAGTTTTGTTTCTTCAGGATTCACCAGTTAACTCCAAATGAAAGCAAAAAGAAGTCCGATGAAATGACAAGGAAAAGAGCAATCACAGAAGAAAACCAGTGCCCAGACCTCTGAAGAGCAAAGCAATTGCTTGTGTCAAGTTCCCATAACAAGATGGTGCCAGCTGAGGCTTATGTTAGAACCTTGCAATAAAATTAGATGTCTGGAGCCTCTGTCAGAAGAATGATGCTATCTCATTAATGGGATTACATAGAAAAATTGGAGGGATTTCAGTCAAGAGGAATAAAACGATTAAGGATCAAAAGAATGTGACTCATGAAAGCAAGTACAGACTGGATGCTGCAGTCTTGCCTGAGAAGCCCATGTCTCAGAACCAGAGAGGCTTGGTGGTACCAGTGGCATCACAGCAGCTCCCCCCTTACACCTGGAAAAACAGGAGCAGATCCAATGCTATGGAGGAAAATCTCATATTATAAAATCCCAGTTTTGTTATGGCAACACTATTATTGTATTACTCAGCAAGAAACTAATAATCAGAGGAGAAAGAGGTGAAGAGGCTAATTACCTATAAGCAGCTGGCAGATACAAGCCCCATAAGAGAAGAACACATTTAGTGAGGAAAAGGGGGGGTGGAGGCAAGAAGGAGGTTGTGACTACAGAGCCTGGGTAAAATCAAAGCCTTTTGATTAGAGCAGGAGAGGATTTCTTAGCCACAGCAACAACATATATGTGCAATCACCTTCCTGAGGAGGGTACTGAAAATCACAACTGCTGAATCACCTGAAGAGGGGCTGGCCACTACCCCAAAAACATCACCATGAGACTCCAGCATTGACAGAAGCGACAGGGGGAGGGGAGAAGGCAAAACAGTGCAAGAAGGGAAACGGGAGTGTTGTGGTAGCAGATGTTCCCTAGTCACAACTACTATGTTACACTGCAGGAAAAATAAATGAATAAATAAAAGATATCTAAATATAGAATGAGTTTCTCTTCACTGAGGCGCTCAACATCTCTCTGCAATTCATCTTTTCCGATCGAAGCACTGTGGGTTAAGTAAAAAGGTTCGTTTAAATTCTACACACATTCACAAAGACAAACTGATTTCAAAAAGCATTATTATGTCTGAACTCTCTCACTAGGGGTGAAAGCCAGATACTTTGTGAATCATTTTGATCATAGCTAATATTCTCTCAGAATTCATTAGGTGTCAACATGAAGGACAAAATACATCACCACGGAAGAGCAGATGCTACGAGCTACCACACAAAGCACATCAGGGTCACCTCCCCTGCATTCCTCTGCACCAGCACAGGGAAGTGCTGCTCCAACACCCAGCAGCAGCCTTGTTCTTGGCTACTGGGACAGGCAAGAAGTCAAACAGAAATGACACCTCCCAAGAAGAAACTCTGCTGAGGAAGTGCCAGACCTGGCAGTACCCAGACACAGCGTGCCAAAAGCAGCAAGGGAACGCACCAGAAAGCGATTTCTCCCAACCCCACCTCGCATCAGGTCCCCCCAACAAGGAAGAGGGTGCCAGGGCAGGGCTCTGGGATGTGTAATGGCACTTTGGACCTCGTCCAGTATACGTAGCAGCAGGAAATGGCTCTTCCAGAGTTCACACTTCACAGAGCAGCGGAGGCTGAAGCCCAGTTCTCTCCATTTCTAGTAAGACCCTCGAGGGCATATATCCCAGCAGGGTGAATACTCCCTACCACTCCCTACATCCCAGGTTGGATGCAGGGGAATCAGTTGCCAAGCCCTGAACTGGTACCCAGCTCAGCCTCCAAGGCCGCCCACGCCTCTGCAAGGCTGGGCGAGCTCTGCAATCCAGGAAAAAGGCTCCAACAGAAGATGCAAACAGAGCAGATTTGTTTGCTATTTTTATATGGTTTCTTACCACAAAAGAACACACTCGAAGCTCTTAAGCCATTAAACTTTTAAAAAGAGGAATAGCTTTTCCAGAAGCTGCGCTTTGATGTAACTGGGCAAATTCATCTTGTTGCTTAACAAATCAAGACCTCAGTCTGCCACTCCCTTTCTTCCTTTTTTATCTTACTTAAAAAATAAAATTAAATTAAAAAAAAAAAAAAAAAAAAAAAAAAAAAAAAAATGCTCACACTCCTGAAAAAACTGGCCTCAAATTTTAAGCTGCAACAGTAGCTCTTGCAGAAATAATGCCTGTGTTTACAACAAGCAGTGTTCATTACAGGCTGTTAGAAATCCTCCACAATTTGCATCATGGTGCATAACCCAACTCTTTTCCTCCTGAAACCCAAAATTTCTGGTCAGAAATTCTAAATAGTTTTTGGGATTCAGAAACTTAGTAGTAGCACTTAATGGGGTTTCCAGAACAACAACAATGACCATGGTGGTTACTTTGGGCTCCTTGGAGCTTTCACAAATACATGGGACACCTCCACAGTGTTCTCATTCCTTAAGTTTATACTTCTGAGTACCTTGCATCCAGTGTGAGTCCGGGTCTTCATGAGGGGAGTTGTGGTGCACAGCTCAATGGCTTCTGGTTCGTGGAAGATCACTGTTGGGAGAGGCTCTTTACGGAGAGTTAGGACATTCAACTTAGTCTTTAACATGGTCTGAAAGTGCTAAACAGAAAAAGAAAAGAAATTATCTCCAGTTATGGTGCAGAAAAACGAGAGTCAATAGTTGGACGTGCCTGCATGTTTCATTTGATGTTCAATGCCTTGGAACTTTTCATGGGGAGAGTTAAGTTTTATCACTTAAAAACATTCACTATTGCTATCAACAATGTAGACACACACACAAAATGAGAGGATTTATTACAATCCAAACATGTTGCAAAAAAGGGTCTAAATTCAATCTCTGATCACTCTGGCATATTACAATCTACTGATGTCCACAGGGAGGGAAGAACAGGGAAGCAAACAGCATTCAAAGAACTATGGATTTATCCATTCTTGTTCTCTTTCCTCTATACCTAAATCTCATCCCACTGACCTTTGTAGACATTACATTCCATCTGAGGTAAATGCCTCACTGGTTTGCCTCTATCCTGTGAATTTTATATTCTCTTCCTTTGTAAGCAGTAGTTCCTGTAGTCTCCAAAGCAAATGTCACTACAGTACTAATGAATAGATGTCATTCAAAACTCGTCGCTTTCTACAACAGACTCCCCAGGCTGAGGTGAAGAACTATCCAAGTGGGTAGTGAAGTCATCAAATTAAGTTTCTCAGCAATTGCTTAGAGTGAAGAAAGTGAATCCTTGAAAGATTTCCAAGTCAATTTGGCAGAATCAGGGAATTAGAGAATTTTTTCAACATTTAGATGTTTCTTTGTACTGACTTTCATGTGAAAAAACTGAACATTTCCGCTTGGTACTGCATATCTCAGGGGGGAAAACACATAGATATGAACTAAACCAATTAAGTACTCCCACCTAGTAACATACTGCAGCACTGCCTAATGAAATATGAATTTATCAAAGCCTCATAATGCGACTCTTATCAGTCAGCAGTTATTAGATATATGTGCAATGACTCCAGATTGCTTTCATCAAAACTAAACCATTTGTTCTGACTTCTGATGGGGGATTAATTTGTTTTGCAGTCATCTGTTTTCTCACCCTCCCCTTCCCCTCTGCAAGGCAGGCAAGCATTACAGGGTCTGTCTTGCAGAAAAAGAGATTGCTGAGTGATTTCCCAAAACCATGCAAGAAGTCTCTACCAGAGCTAGAAAATCAACACAGGCCCTTGCTGTTCAGCCCTGTGCTTTAGATGGAGAGAGTGCCTATTAAACATTTTATTTATACACAGGGGATAAATCAACTATTTAGACACTATGATGGTTTTCTATGGATTTTTACAGGTATGAATACTCCACTGAAAATAAATTTCCTTCTTTATTCATAAATACCATCAGCTAACTGAAGCCTGTTAATGCACTTTTAAAACAGTTTAGTCCTTAGTTCATCAGTGTTTAGGTCTAATAATTGTTCTGATACTGGAACTACAGCACCTCAAACACTCTTAGAAGCATGTTCAAGGCATACACCCTCACAATCTGTGAAAATAGTACTTGTTTACCTATCTCACACATGAACTTACAGCCTGTTAACAGCAATACTTCAGGGCCTCTGCGGTGTTTGTGCAAGCATTTTCATCCCAGCAAAGAAATCCACTCATATTATTTTTCATCTGGCTCATATTACATGTTCTCCCATTCACCCTCCCTAACACAGCTCCAGCAAAAAAGTACTCCATTTAAGATGATTATACACTAAAGAGTATTCTCTGACACGTTTCTGAAGATAACAGAGCTCTTTGACAGCCGGGATTACTAAGCTTACTGAGAAAATCTACTTTATTTTACCTTTAAGTTGTGATTAACAGCCTTTTTTTTTTTTTTTTTTGGAGTTTCCTAGGCTTCTGCAGTGAAGTTGTTTTTGCAAAGGCTAAACAGCAGACAAACAGCCATGTCAAGCATAAAGCAAGCTGAAGGTCTGAGACGCTGAGGTTGAGGGAGCACCATCAATGACCAACTGCAGTGTTGGGTTTGCTGGTCCCATTAATAGAAGAATAGTCTGTCCTAGCATTTAACTTCTCCCTCCCTTCAGTGCTGAAGGAGCTCTATTTCCACAGATGATCCATTTACAGAGCTTTTCGAATAAAGAACTGTGCTTCTATTAGATCATAGAGGAAAAAACCCCACCTAGCCCCTCTGAGCTTCCCTTGGACTTTAAAAAAATGGTTGTTCTCCTTTGCTGGCATTTTTAGAAACTTCAGTGGGACTATTGACAGAAAGAGCACAATTTGAGCAAAACGAAGAAAACTATTACAATTATCTGCCTTTTTTTTTTTTTCTTGTTGTAACAACCACATACACAATCTTAAACAAGGAAAAGACTACTCTCTGCCTTCCAAAGGCAATTCAACGCTTGCATGAGCAGCAAGCTGGAGTGGCTGGGTGCCAAAAACACCAGAACACAATTGGCAGCAAACAGCTGATTAATTGCCAGAGAAGTGCAGAATGGATTGGGGGTGGACACAGAAATAGCCTCTTGCTTTGGAGCTCGTGGCTAGTGCAGACAATGCTTGCACACAGGTCATATGATGGCTGCCACAAGAAAACCACGTCTCTGCCAGGAGACATCACGCAGTGAGCCCCCAAATAAGCACGTTATTGAAACACATGCCCAACTTTCACTGTGTGAGCAGTCCCAGTAGAGCACACGTGGGTAGTCAATGGGATTATTCGTGTGCTTTAAGCCAAGAACAGGATAAAGTGCTTTGCTGAACCCATTTCTTAGGTTTCCCCTCCAAACTGGCATCTCCTGCGGAAACAGTTGGCAAAAGCTGACCTGTAACAGTAGCCAATGTATTTTTTGAGAAGAGGCATTTGCTCTCTGTGATGTGAACCTGGAATATTTCTTTAAAGTGCTTTAAGTTCGCAAAATTCTTGAAAAGCATAACTTTGGCAATTCAGGGAATAAAGGTTCAGGGAACCTTATACCCTTCACGTTTCACGTGCCAGGACCCCCTAGGTTCGTTTGGTGGCTCTTATACTGAAAACCATCAGAAAAACATATTCTTAGCTGGCATAAGTACAATAATATAATTCTTTATCCATTTAAACGATGCTATTGATACAACTTTATGTTTGAAAGAAATGCAAGGAGCAACATCACAATAAGAAATTAGCAGTGAGTTTTAAAATGCCTTGAACAAACAAAAATACCTTAAATGCCACAGAAAGGGGCAGAGCTGTGATTACCATTGTATTTTCCTGAACATTAAATCATTCAGAGCAAAATTTAAGTAAAGCCCGCTATAACACTGGGTAATTAACTTAATTCAGAACCCTAGTTTTGCTTATTCAAAAATTTAGGTTCTATCAGTTTATTTTGCATAGTTTACCAATCTTAATGGCATCCTTTCCCCCTGCAGAAGAAAACTGAAGGGTGCATGACTGGTAGCCCAAACTCATAACAGGCTAAGACTGTCACTACAGAGGTACTTGCCTCTTTTCTCTGTGGTGACCTTCAAAGTGCTCCCTATTTCAATGAAACCCCTGCCATCACTAACTCTCTTAGCTACCAGTTAATTAAACATAAGAATCAAGAACTTCTAAATTGTTTTCCACATATATTTTGTTATCAGCTCAACGGTCAGCTCTAGACTAACTATTTCACAACATCCAATTTGCAAATTTTAGGTGCTACATATTTAGTTCAGGCACAATTTCTGTTGCTGTTCAAACTAAAAATTAACAGCATTTGGGGTTTGGTTTAGTTTGTCAGCATAAAAATTCAGTCACTTCCCCAATTCACTCCAAATGTCTTGGAGAAAACAACTGTGATTACATACAAGGAAACGTGACTTGGAGGAGAAAAATATGCACTAAAATTTGTAATAATAATGTCCCTCATCTTCAGGTCCTAACAGTCATTGCTGTTCACAATACTGAGCAAGCCTGGGCTTAGTGGATCTTTTCATTTTCATGATGGGAATAAAACAAGGACCCAAATTCAAAAATCTAAAAAAGGGTTATATATTGGATGTTAACATAAAAATAGATGCCAAGAAGGTGGGGACTGTAACTCATTGTAATCTGTAATCCAGCCACAGGAGATGAGCAAAATAAACACATTTTACAGGCGAACTGGGTTGCAACATGGTGAATGTAAGAATATCTTCAGCACCTCAGCTCTCGTCCCCCATTCCCTCTTAACAACAGCAGTACAATAAACACACGACTGCATAACCTGGCATCACATTTCCAGATGACCTGTATTTGGCCAGTTTTGCCAAAGATGCACATTGAGTTCAAACCTGAAAATGACAGGATGTTAACTTCAAAAAGAGTTATTCTAAAAGTTCAAAGACTCTGAGCGACGGATTTGCCAGAACGAGAAGCAATCCTCTGGGCAGTGCAACCTGCTACAGCACCTACAGAGGGATTCCCAGATGAAATACACATTAGTGCATCAGCAAAAGATCAGTCCCAGGGAAATTCAAAAATAACCTCTATAATTTACTGCCTCAGTGCAAGTACTTCTCTACCTTTGAAACACATTTAGTTCTGGAATGAAACCAAAATTTTTCAACAGCGTCCTACGGCAAGACAGAGCAGCCTAGGAGGGGAAAGACACAACCAAGTGCAAGAGAATTTTAGAAAATGCAAATGTTCCTTTTCACTTATTTCCAGTCTGTAGATACAAGGCTTCAGTCTCACTCAGGGTCAGAGGAGATGACAAGACAATAGAGACCTTTAGCAGTGTGGTCACCTCCTCAGTGCCATGAGCGCAGCTGTGACCTGAGGATCACCCAACCCCAAGCCTCCAGCTTTTCAGCAAGAAAAGCAGAATTCTGATATATAAGAAAACGGATCCATTTCAAGGCTTTGTTTTGTTTAAAGCAAATGCTGTCCAGTACAGATCAAAGTCACATCTGATCCATTTCTTGTTAAACAAATACTGCTAATACAGTTTAAATGCTTTCCCTCCCCCACATTACAGTGCTTTATTTATTTATTCTTTACTAGCAGTTCATGTAAACTTTGTACTGAACACTACAATAAAACCCACTACAGAGGGGATGGAAGCACTTTATCATGATAAAGTCAGAAATCATCCCACCAGTAACCTGGTTTGTAACACAAAACCGACTGGCATGCGCAAACCCAAGACCATGTCATGACTTTTTAAACTCAAGCAGATCCAGCCCAAGTAATCTGCTTGAAAGAAATCCATCTCCAGAAATCTGGTTTTTAAAAGTATCTCTCATCTGGCATCTCGAGACCTATGTTTTGCCACTCTATCAAAGCAAATCCTTTCAATCCCTTTCAGGTAATAGATGGTGCTTATGGGAAAAAGCAGATAATTGTGTCTGAATTTACATCTCCCAGTCGCAAAGAAATGGCAAAATGCACAAGTGGTAAGACAGAGTTGCCCACAGGGACCTTGTGACACATTCTGGAAGAAGAGGAGCTTGGACAAGGCCATGGCACAACTTGGTGCAACTCAGTGGGCTGAGGGCATGGCACACCCAAGAGTCTTGGGACAAAGCACCTGGGAAATGTTGCTACACACACACACAAAAAAAAACCCCAAAATCAAAACAAAACAAGACAAAAAATCACCACTATAATGCCACACCAAACAAAATCCCCAGCAACAAACAAACTTCTGTCTTGCCAGGGCAATTTGTATGACAGGACAGCAAGCAGAAGGAAAAGCAGCAGGAGAGGCTTGTAGGCAATGCTGGTTGCTGCCAGGCAGAGACCCTCCTGCTTCTGCTGCTGCTACTGAACGTGACAAGGCAGCCAAGCACAAAGCTCTGATGAAAAAACCTCTAATATACAGAAACAATGGATAGATGGAAGGGAAGGGGGACACAAAACTGCAGATGGAAAAGCATGACAAGGTACAGACAAATACAAGACCAGTTGAGCGTCAAAAAGCCTTCCAGCAAAGATGCCACTGAATCTTTGCATGCAAGCACCGAGAGTTATTCCATCTTACTCTAATACCAGTTCCTTAGGGAATATTCTTCTTCCTACAGTGCCAAGACAGATCTCATAAATACACAACTATCACGATTTCATAAATAAAACCTGCACTCTCTGTCGATAGCCTTGATCACACAGCTGCCTGTGTGACAGTGCTCACACCGCCTTGTTTTCTTACAAGTTTCAAGAATGTCTGTTTCCTCACAATTTAATTCATGTGAAACGTTTTGTTCTCAGACCCTGTGTACTTTGGGTTTGCTCTGGCTGGGTGCCTTCGCTCTATTGCCAAGCTTATGCGATTCCAATCAGCAGGATCGCTGCCCAAACAAAACACAATCCCAGATACAAACACCCTCCAAACTGCAGGGAACTTCAGAGCCAGATGAGAATTTCATGACTGATCCTCTAACATCTCTCTATACTCAGTCAAACTAAATCCTGACCTAAACAAATCTAAATATAGAGGATATTCAGAGACTAAGTTTCCAGTTTAGCCAGAATTGCTCAAAAGCTGAAGTCCCACTATGGAGATTCACATCAGAGTAGGAAGGAGCCAAGGACACTCATAATCATGAAAATAAAATAAGACATTCCTAAGAGATCAGCTACCGCAATTTTGGCCATAGAAATCATTGTTAATTCTTAAGTTTTAATAACTTTGTCACAACTGAACTATTTCTCCTGACAAACAAACCCAATTAACATAACTTTACTATGTATTTGATTAAATGCAATTATTGTAAATAACATTTACGCTTGCAGTAACGAGTCTGCATTTTCCTTCTACCCCATTCCTGATTACTTTGGTCTTCAAAATGCTTGCAGAAATCCAGCAAACAAAAGCAGTCTGGGAAGTGCAGCTCTGTTACATGGCACTGAGGGAAAGTAAAATCATTCCCATTATCTGCTCTTTATCGTCTCATCACCAGAGTAGACTGACCAGAGCAGAAGTACCCCCCCAAAAGCACCATGTCTGTGTGCAAGATAGGGATTTTAAACTAGATTTCAATTTCAAACACACTGGTATACCAGAATTTCTCAGTACAAGCAGAAGTATTTATCAGCTCCAGCATTTTTTCAAGACAAATGGCAGTGAACATACGAGTCCAAGACAAGACAAATGGTTTCAAGAAAAGAGGAAGAGTGGAAATAAATTAAGAAATAGGAGATGACAAGAAGAGAAAGAACAAAATAGAACACGCAGCAGCATAGATATGTCAAGTTCATTCACTTTGATTTTGAGCTGACCCCTTAGCTGCTTTCCAACATATTTTTCTCCTAACATGAGTTTCCAGTGGATGTATTATTTGGTATAGTTGGCCCAATATTAAAACAATGGAATCCTGCAGCATGAAGGCGGCTGTTGCTTTTTCAATTTGCTCTTGGAGGTTTTCCAATAATTTCTGTGTCAGAGGATGCTTTAAAAAGTTCTTTCTCCTCACTCTGTGCCTGGCAGAGCAAGCCCATCTCAGACAGTACCTGCCAGACAGCCACTGCATTCCCCCAGTCCAGCCTTTTCAAAACCAGCACTTCACTCTGTCACTCTTCTCCTTAATTTTTTGCAATCAATCAATAACTTGGTAAGCAGTTATGTAGTTCAGTGACCTCTTTCTTGCCTTGCTAAGACTTATTTTCTGAGGCAGGGAAAGGAACTTGATGACAAAGGTACCTGCTGCAAACAGGGAATCTGCCCTGAATATTTGCTAGTGTGTCTAATACTATGGAGAAACGAGGGTACAAATTCTTAACAAAAGAGTGAAATGTGTTGCTTAAACATAAATCAAATAAACATTTGTATTTACAGCTACAAGATAATGAGAATCCACTCCTTCCTCTAAAGCTGTCCATTTTATCACTGAGTCCTCTGATGCTAATTTACATCACTGTCTTTTCCAGGTCAGAACCACCCCCAAAATTTAACTCTGGCATTCCTAAGGGTCTCTGAGAGGGGGTCCTCCTATCTCCCATGGACAAAAGCCCTTTCCAAATGAATAGACCTGAGTCTTCAGCAAGTCAGCCTTTTTAGAAAGCCTTCATGAAGGTATATCCTCCCAAACCTTGCAGGGTGGGAAGAAAGAGTTTTTCTTTCTGCCTCCACCAGCAAATTATTTATCATGGGGAAACTCTGCCAGGATTTATAGCTATACAAACCTTTCAGCAGAATATAGACCAAAATTGGGTCCCACTGTAGTGCAAATGCATAACCACCATCCCCAGGGCAACTTCACACAGTAGGTCCTCCCACTTCTTCAAGCCATGAATAAAAGTCGCAGACTTAGAGAGCCTCCATCAGAAATAAGGCAGTCGACAGAAAGCGATCAAAAATACCTTCCTACAAAGTGTCTCATTAATTCAGCAGAGCTTTAGATTTGGATAATTGACAGGATTTGCACCAGGAAACCTTTACAAAAGAAAATCAAACCGACTCGTTTACATTCCTGTTTCTGCTGCAGCTCCCTTAACTGAGCCAAAACAGCCAGATGTAAAATCACTCCGTTTTTTCCAGCTCAGAGGGAGTCAAGCAAAACGGCTGAGGATGGGGCTCCCCTTTGCTGGGGCCAACGCTCACAGGTAGGATGGCCCTCCAATAGCCTCATCCTCCAGATACAAAGGTCAAACCTGCATGGTGTTTTCAAGGTTTTGCCAAAAGTAATTAACCTTTTGTGATGCTTCCGTTTTTCTGGTTGTCAGAGGACAAGCCCTTAGCCGTTGTCAAGGGGGAGATTCAGCTTCTGAGTTCTTGCAGTTTAAGGGCCCAAACCCAGAGATACTCAGAAACTCCATCTCCTCCTAAAAACCTCAGTTTCTTCCTCTTTACTTGTCAGCAAAGTTCAGATAATTTTGCAGAAGCTTAACTAATCCCTCAGCTGAGTATTAAGTTCCAAAAAGCTGGTGATTATACATATACATGCATATCCACAGCTCTTAGAACAAAGAGGGGGGAAAAAAACCCTAGGAAAAAAAGCAAATCCCTCCAGAAAAGAAATAAAATATGCACTATGATATTCAACCAGATGCCCTCATCCCCCCAAGGCATGGTTAATATACTATCTGCCAGTACATATGGGACCAATTAAAAAGAGCTAACTCCTCACACAGGCGCTGCAGCGTCACTCTGGAGGAATCCACAATCGATTAAACAAACTCATTCCAAGCCATTCCATTCTGGAAACACATGCTCATTCATAACCAAATCCCAGCCTTTAGGAATCTCACGTGCCATGAGCAAAACAACCAGGCTTGCAGGGAAATCTCTGGCAATACGATCTGAACAGGAACTGAAGAACTATCCTCATCTTTACTGCTGCTTTGCATGTGCTACTACGTGCACCTACAGGAAGAATTGCCACTACTTCTTACAATACCATCTCAGTTTTATAATTTAACATTGACAACGGAATCGAGTGCACTGAATGATGGAAATATTAAATTGTTTAACTAAAGGAAACGAAGGAGATCAAAACTCTCCAAATGTTCCCTTCCAGCAAGACCAGCAGAACAGGAAGACTTCACCTGTGCAAGGAACACTGTTCAACCTCTTTACACTGGGAAAGCTACTTTCTCTGTTTCCAGTACTTATACTCTTGCTTTTGTCCAATCTGCTCCAAATGTTGATCAACACAGCAATCACTTGCAAGTTTCCACACATAAAAAAGCTAGAGAATGAAGAACTCCACACAGCAACAAACAGGATCGTCCTTATTCTCAGTACAGTCTCAACTTTCTTCCGTTCTCCATTAATTGCTGACCACCCCAAACACCATGCATTCTCAGCCACTTTACAACTTAAATAATTTTGCACTGAAAAAAAAACTAACCAGTTTTGTATCTTCAAGTTTGGGCT